ACACTAGAGGAGGAGACGAGAGGATGGTGAGGATTTTTTTAGAGCTCAGCGCCGAAACGAATTTAAGTACGCCCTACGGTGGCCACTATACAACTCGAGCGGCCACGATGGCGGCCGCGCTTAGCGCACCCTGAAGGGCGCGCCGCGCGAGTAGCGCGCGCGACACCGCGCCGCGGGAATGCGGGTTCAGCCCGTTCTCTTCCCATGACGTGTGCCAGAGACTTTGGTGCTGGCCATGGCGCTTCCCGAGGGCCGAAACCAGACCCATCAAAACACCATGCCGAGATTTCCATCAAAATCCATGCCACAACACCCCTAGGCCATATGCTTAGAATCAGCGTCGTAACTCTAGGATTGCCAACTCCAGATGTTTATATTATGCCGACCGTGAGCAGTTTTTTGCTCAACAGTCAGGGCATCAAGCCATCGGCTCTCCACAGTATAATGCCAAAGATCTTCGATCTGGGCAGACCTTGTATCTTCTGCGCCTGCAGGGTGTCCGCCTGTAGGAGAGTGAGATGGCGAGCGAGACGACCGCCGCGAACGAGTCGTCAGCCAGGCCTTCGGTGAGGCCAGTAGGGTTTGAAGAGGGGAGGTGGTGGTACAGTGGAGGTGGAGGTGGAGGATCAGGGCTTCGTTTCATAGGCCCTCTCACCCCTGCATGCGCACACTGCGGCGTTGTACGTGCCGCCGCCTGCAGCATGTTAGGAGGCGCAGGTGGTGGTGCTGAGAGGTGGAGGAGGTGGAAGAGGAGGACAGATCAGCAGCTTGCGCATCGCTTTTTTTGGCACGGCATTCGGAAGGTGGAGAACGTCGCAGCTACTTTAACCTTCCGTGAGGGCAATCGCGGAGACTAGCTTCGCGGACGTTCCTGCCGAACGGAATGGTCACATCGCAGTTTTCATTCTAGCGCTGCATTTTTTTCATCATGTTCATCTTCCTCGTCATCAGATCACGCGGAGGCCTTGGATTCAGGCGGAGGGGGGGACTCTTTTCCCTTTTCCCATGCTCACCTGCACCATTCAATTGGCAGCTTGCATACTGTACCGCTATCTTTTGACATTGCGTCCGGAATGCTCAGAATAGATTGCAGCTACTTCCGACCCTCAATGATGGCAGTCGTGGGGGATCGGCGTAGGGTGAGTGGAAAGCATGTAAGGATTCATTACTGTCACACTTAGGGGTGCCTCCGCCGTTAATGAGCACCTTGCACATCTTTCTGTTTTCGCATTGCACTCGGAAAGTTGAGAACGAATCACGGCCATTCTCAAAGTTGATGAAGACAAGTGCTGCAACAACTCATACCCAGCAGGTGCCTAGCAATCTTTGGCACGGCGTATTTGGAGGAGGTGGAAGATGAGGGGCTCTATTGTGGAGGAGGAGGCAGCGGAATGCGTTACGACGAACATTGCATATTTACCCAGCGCCATGCTTGCACATTAAAAAGTCGGAGTTGTCAAGACCACGTGGGCACAGCACATTCTAGCCTCTGAATCCCATTCGTGCAGGTGTCTCTCTTATGGACCTTGTTCTCCTGGGGTGGAGGAAGTGCGGATTGACTTTGTGGATGTTGGGTGGCGTGGACGGTGGAGAAATGCGAAATCGGACAGCACCATTCGAGGGCAGACCGCCAGCCAAGCACACGTGTGCTGCGCTGACAGTCGCTGAAGGCCTTGAAGCGGGAGTGGGGTGGTTGCAGATGGATGAAGGGGAGGAGGAGGAGGGCTTGGGAGGCTCTGGGGCATCTTTGCCGTTGTGCACGTGTCTGTGTCCTAGCGGGTTTCTTTTCCTGTCCAGTCATATTCGCCCTTCGTTTTCCCATTGTGCATGCGTTGGTTTCACAACTCTGTGGTTGGTCAAGCGCTGCGTTCCGATCAGATGTCTCTCGGATCGCGGCCATCAAGACGCGACGGATCACGCAAGGCGTCTTTTCTTCAACGCAAAAATTAGAGGGATGGGAACAACAGGGTGGGGATGAGGATGATAATGAATATGATGAGGATGAGGAGTGGTACTGCTTTTCGGTAAGAGTCACGGGGCAATTCGTGCAACATTCGGACCGAAGTCTATTTTCGTCGCGCTTTCTTTTGCGCTCAGGGTTCCGTCCATAGCAAATCAAGAAACCTGCGGAGATGTTCTCGGGCTGCAGCATTCCAGAGACCTCGGCCAGTTCTCGGATCTGCGCGGCCGCGCAAACATGTGGGCCAGGCCCCAGCCGTGCGCGAAAGCCTGATGGGGTGGCGCGTGGGGGAGCCAAGGGCCAACGAGTGCCTCAGAAAGGGCTTGCCAGATCGAAGGCAGACGCTCAGAACATCGGTGGCGACCGCTTCCGCGGTGGCGGTCGGAGACTTTCTGGGAGCCTCCGAGCAGCACCGGGTGGGCCCGCCTGGCCAGAGGTTGCTCGGGGCTCCCGCCCACCGCCAGCCAGTGGCCCTCCCGACGGGTGCCAGGATCCGGGGCGTGGGCGCATGCACATCACGGGCAGGGCCAGCAGGGACGGGGAGAGGGAGGGAGAGAGGGAGGGAGAGGGAGGGAGAGTGAGGGGGGGAGGAGGGAGGGAGGATCGAGGGATCGAGGAAGAGGAGGAGGAAGAGGAGGAGGAGGAGGAGGAGGAGGAGGAGGAGGAGGAGGAGGGCGCGGCGCACAGCCTCGGCTGGGGCGGTCATGTGGCCCGCAGGCCTCTAGGGCCCCTTTGGCTCCCTGTGAGCCCGATTGCTTCCTCCGCTGCGGCTCGTCTTGTATTCAACCTTGCTCGCACCCGTGTGTCGCTGTGTGGCGCTCCCCTCAGGTCTGGGCTCCTGCACTTTTTCGCAGCGGGCGTTTGCCCCGGGCTTCGGGCCCCGGGGCTATCACAGCTCGGCCTGGCTCGAAAAAATGCAGGGGAATATAGGATCTGAATTTGGGCTCTGGTCGTGATCTTCTGCGATGTCGAGTTTTGGTTCGCGATGTCGGATCTCAGTCTCCGTAGCTCGCCCGCCGCCCCCCTCACCCTATCAGGGACGACGTAAAGGGGAGGGGGACGGGCCCGATAGCCCACCCCGTCCAGGGCCCTACACTTTCGCCATCGGGGGCCTGTCGGCGATCTATCGGCGGCATATCGCCGATTCAGGCTTGATGTTCCCCCCCCCCCCTCCTGAGCTGGTCCCGCCTTTTCGTTCCCCCCTCGCGCTAACTGGAGACGAGCGGGCAGCCGGCATACGAGCCCCGTGGGGGGAAAATCCCAACTAGGCTCGCCCAGTTAAGGGGCTCCTGCTTTGTCATATAGTGGTGCTGTGCTAGGCTGAGCCAGGTTACGCTAGGTTCTGCCAGGCTACTACCCTGCTACGCTGTGCTGCGTTGCAGTTAAAGCGCCTAGTAGGGACGCGCGCCTTCATCCAGGGTGCCCTTGTGTCCTTGTCTCTGCGACCCGTCCTTTGCCGTTTTCATTAGTCGCCCGTCACCCAAAATATCCCATCTTCGGGTCCAAGGATCTCGCGTCCTTACCACCCGTCCTGAATACACGTTTGGAATGTATGTTGTACACCAGGGTACGCAATATTGTGGACAACAGTGTCTGATGCTTCGCGATTGTATACAACGCTCTTCTACGCCATGGTATGAAGCATCATGTTTTGCTGCGACTATGCGACGCCGTTCAGTGCGGCACAAGAGTGATGTAGCATGATACGTTAGGCGGTGCCATGCTATGTCGTATCATGCTTTGTGTTGCATGGTAGTTCGTTGTTTTGCACATCAGTGCGTTGCACTGTGCACGCATGCATGCTTGCAGCAAACACGACTGCTGCTAATGGGGTCGCGATGGGTCCACTTTTGTTAATCCGCCTTCTGCAAATCACGACGCCCAGCTTTTCTGAGGTTCGGCCTCCAGGGGCCTGCTTCAAGCCCCACAGAAGCCACAGACGACGGCTCCTGCGGAAGAAGACGCCGCCAGCTCCAGACCTCCGCGTATTGACGAATCTTGACGTCGGAGATTCGGGTTTTCGTCGGTTCCTGAGTGGGGCGCGAGATTTCTGAAGTTCTCACCGCTTCGGCGGAACGCGCACCTGAGTGTCGTGGAGTGGCGCTGCTATCTGGCCGGCAGAGAAGGGCTTCCATTCGGCAGCCATGAGGGAGAGAGAGAGAGAGAGAGACAGACAGACAGACAGACAGATAGACAGACAGACAGACAGACAGACAGAGACAGACAGACAGACAGACAGACAGACAGACAGACAGACAGACAGACAGACGGACGGACCGACCGACCGACAGACAGACAGGCAGGCAGACAGACAGATATATATATATATAGAGAGAGAGAGAAAGAAAAAAGAGAGAGAGAGAGAGAGAAAAAGAAAGAAAGAGACAGAGACAGAGACAAAGAGAAGAAGAGCGATAATCATTCTGGCAGGGCTCTGTCGACCAAGATCGGCTTGCACGGGGCCGGCCGGCCGTCCAAGGTCAGCTTGGGTTTCGCTCCCCAGAGATTTCGACCCGCGGGGCCTCCAGCGCGCTGGGCCCATCCGCGCGGATCCCCGAGGCCCAACGAGACACCCAGTGGGCGGGCAGGCGCAAGGCCCTGGCCCCCCCCCACACCCCAGCATCCCTCCCCTTTCCTTGCGCGTGAACGCCGGAAGCAAACGGGGTCCACTGCGCCGACATCGGTGCGCACGCTCCCCGCGCAAGGTGGCGCGTCAGCGCCCTCGTTTCCACTGTGGTGTGCCGCGCTGGCGGCCCGCGTATAGCCACCGCGTGAGTTCGCCATGCCCCGCCTCGCGTAAGACCCGCCTCCTTCCCTCGACCTGTCTGCGGCTGCCCCGGCGCGCCCCCGAGATCCCCAGGCGAGGCGCCCGGCACGAGCCGCGCCCCGACGAAGTGCGCGCGTTGAGGGCGGCCCGCGGGCGCTTCGCCCGGGCCTGCGGCATGGGCGCGGCCGCCCCCCGGCGCTCCTGCGAGCGGGGCGCCGGCCTCGGCCGGAGCGGGTTGCTTCCGGGCGTGCTCCCGGCCGCGGGCGCGGGCGGATGGCCGCGGCCGGCGACGCCGCAGAGGCCGCGCTGCTGCAGCAGGCCGGCGAGCGGGTGCGGCTCGCACGCGAGCTGGCGGCGCAGCTGCAGCTGCGCTGCGGCGCGGCCTTGCGGGGCGCAGAGGCCGCCGAGCGGGAGGCGGCCGGCTGGCTGCGCATCGAGCGGTGGCTGCTGCGGGAGGGCGAGGCGCCGCGCCGTGCAGGAGGCGCAGAGGCCGCGGCGGAGCGGGGGGGGCTCGGCAGTGCCGGCTGGTGGGCGCGCGTGGCCAGCGAGGAGCGCCGGCCGATGGAAGGCGCTGCCCGCGGGCCGGCCACGGCGGCTCTGTTGGCTCTGTCGGGCGAGGCCACCGAGCTCACGGACGTGCGGTGCGAAGAGATGCTGGCGTTTGAGCGGGGGCGCTGCAGAGAGGAGCGAGCGCGTGCTCGGGCCGAGGAGCGGAGGTGCGAGTCGTTGCGGCGCGAGGTCTCCGTGTGGCAGCGCGCTGGCGCCTCGGAGGGCGGGCCGCAAGACGCTGGGCAGCTGCTCGCGCAGCTCCGGCGCCTCGAGCGTGCGAGCACCGAGGATCTCGCTTCGCTCGGGCGCGAGCGCTGCCGACTGGAGGAGGAGGTACGCCTTGTCTGCGCGGAGGGCGCGGGGCTGAGGGCGCGCTGGGCTCGCGCGGAGGAGCTGAGCTGCGAGGTGTTGCTAAGGGCTGGCTCGGCTGAGGCGGCGGCCGCTGCTGGGAGGAACGAGGTAGCGGCTTTGGGGGCCGTGACGACCCGCCTGCGGAGCGAGCTGCAGGGTACCCAGCAGCTGCCAGTGCTCTCCGAGGAGTTGCGGTCGGAGCAGCAGGAGATCTGCGACTTGCGCCGCGAGCTGTGGCGCCACCAGCGCGAGCTGGAGCAAGTCGCTGCCGAACGGCACTTCCACTCGTCTCTGGAAACATCCGACTTGAGACGACGCTCTGATTCTCTGCGCGCCGAAATATCGGCAATAACACACACGCTCCAGTTTTGAGCAAGAGCATGCTCTCGACTTTGTGCCGTCATGGATTGCATTTATTTGCTTATGATGCTGAATGAAGAAGGAGGAAAACGCCATACATATCAACTTTTGGCGCTCCGCGCGGATTCCTTGAGGCCCCCTGGCGGCGCCTCCGACGCCGCCCCTGGCGCGCTCCGCGTCGCCAGGGAGGGGCTTGCAGCGCAGATCCAAGAAATCCGCACGGAGCGCCACAAGTTTATGTTTATGCCATTTTTTTCTGGAACACAGACTACTTGTTTAATGATGTTTAATGCCTGCACTTTGTAGCCAGATGATCTTGGCACCGTCACTTCTTTGGACACCTCCTCGTGACGCACATGCCTATAGTGATGCGAAGAGACTTGGACAGCATGCGGTACACTCCTTGACTGTGTAGTGCTTCGTTGCGCTTCATCGCGCCATCATGGTAATGAATCCCCAGGCCAGCACGCAATCGGTACTTTGTTTTCCTAGGCATTATGTGCCCATTCTGGTTTCCGCGCATTGTGTATGGCACGATCCGTTCTTGGTCTTCAGTTTGAGGCTTCGCTGGATCCACCTCAAGTGGCCTCGTAGATGCTGTGCCTGACAGAAAGACAGTGCTATTTGAAATGGGTGCACTGTGTTGCTTCCATGGTTTCTTGGTCTGAGATCGAGCACAATGTAGCCATATCCTGTTATTACCATCGTCCCTTCGCGCGGCTCATCGAGTCCCTCATCAATGTCAACATCGTCTTCATCATTACCAACTGTGTTTCTGATATGTACCCGTTGCAATGAACAACTTTTGCTGATGCAAGGCAGTACCAAGATCTTGCTCACTTGCTGCATTGCACAAGCGCACTCTGAAGTGAAGACAGAGGGGTAAGGGTTTTCAGCTGATTGCTCATTGGTTTCTTTCTTGGCAGGGGTATCAGCGGCGTTGCCGGTTGGCATTGCTTTCGCAGTCTCGTGCGGCCAGCAGAGAGCGAGCAGGGGATCAGCAGAGGCACGCAGACCCACTCCTCCACCCATCCAACTCCCCTCGCGCCCTCCGCTCCCCTGGCAGTCGGCGTGAGGCGAGTGACAAGGGGGAGATGGACTCTCAGAGTGTGCGTGTGGGCCCAGGGCATTCCCGGGGGGGGCCGAATCCTGTCAAGCTGTCTGTCAACCACGGGGTACGTTTGCTCTCGTGCTGTAGGCCCGCAGGCACGTCTCCGCAAGAGGCTGCGCGGTAGCGAACGAGTGTGCGCGCCGTGTGCACTGTGCGCGTCACATTCGCAACGCATGTCGACTCTGCGCAGAGAGGGACTTCACACGTTCAATTCAGGGATTTTTAGTTCACGGGAGGATTGTCGTGAGAGTCTTTGGAAGCCTCTCCGCCCAGGATCTGAGGGCCATGGAGGATTCCGCGAAAGAGGTCATCACTTCTGCACAGGCCCATCTGATGTACCTCTCTCTCAGGGTCGTTCTTACCATGGTTGTCTCGGAGGTCGTGCCAAAGGCTGGTGGGTGGACAGCAGTGGCAGCGCTTGGCGCCGCATTGGCACTATAGGGGCAAGGACTCCCAACCACCTCTTGTCAATTTCGTTTTGCAGGTTGAAGCGAATTCAAAATTGCGGCATGGCTCAGTATACTTTCTCATAGTCAGCGCGGGCTAGTGCAATGTGCGTCTGTGCGGGACCGGCGAGCCGAGTCGTGCGCTAGAGCACTAGAGCAGGTGACCGGCGCAGTGTATATACAACGTGTGGAGTCTAGGAGGGTGTGATATGAGCGTGCCGAAAATTGAAGCAACAAAATCGCCGGCGAAGGCATCTTCTTGACACGTCCCGTGCATGGAAAAACGCCAGGTGTGCTCCCAGTGCAGTAGTTGTAGTCAGATCTGGGGGCCCCGAGGGGCCCGAAGCCCCCGCTTTCCACGCCTTCTCGCATCCGAGCGCCGCCAGCTTCGAACAGTTAGTCCCGCGCGCACATGTGTATCAAGCAAACGCCAAAGGCATGTTGAACCCCCCCCTGGCGCCTGCATGCTTGGAAACACATGCCAAACGGGCACGTGAGAAATGCGTGCTGATTGTCCCCCTTCGCGTGCGCTTTTGTTATGCAGATCTGCTGCCTGCTGCTGGCCCGCCCACTGAAAGGGAACTTCCGCGGGAACCCTTAGCGGGAAAAGCCACGCTGCAATGTTACGCGTCGTTGCGCTGGAGTGCTGGCGGAATGCAAGAATGCACGAGGAATGCAAAAGGCGGCAGTGACATGTTGTGACCTGCGGAGGGAAGATAGCAAATTTGTGGAGCGCTTGATGGTTGTTCTGGTATGTGTGCATGTGCCTGCGGGTATATACATATATACATGTACATATATGTACACATATGTACATGTGTATACATCACGCGCATCGTGGTGCTAGTGGTGGTTGTTGTTAGTTGAATTGGGGAGACGCACGAGAAGTACGGTGAGGGCGTTGGTTAAGGAATGTGCCCAGGTGGCTTCGGACCTAGGAGGATTCCTTATCTGATGAGGTCGGCAGTAGCATGCATGGGCGATTCACGGTTGGTGTTCCACTAGCTTCCAGATTTTGGATTCCTTATCCAATGGATCCTTATCCAATGCCCTCACCGTAGCGCTCGTAGATGCGAGTGCATGTGATTGCACTGGTCTTTGCGCTGAGTGTTGTAGTTGATGTGCAATATGTACTTATGGTATGGAAGTGCCAGCGTCGGTGAAACTAACGACCATCAATAAAATTCATGTGATGGCCACTTCCGTTGTCTCCCTGATTTATTGTGACGGCGGGCCGTTGGAGCATTTACTTGGCCAATTCAAGCACTTCGACAGGGAGGCGAGATCCGAATGTAACCGAATCACCGCGCGATCAACAATATCGCAAGAGCTCAACCAGTCGTTAGACATAGCGGCACAATCGGAACAAAGCATCTTCTCGGGTCCTTCCCAGACGCGGGCTCACGACGCGCATCGCCCCCTCCAGGTCGGCGCGTATCTCACATTGCTCCGCGCCGCCCCCACGCATGAACCTCGGTTTCCAGAGTTGCCGAATGCAGTACGAGAGAGTAGCCCAGGTCCGAGGTGACCCTGAAGCGACCTCACAGTCGCGACGAATGCCGTGACTACGACGTGAACATTGGACGTAGGAGTCTACGATGACCGCATATGTTATCACATATGCTCTGGGGATGTCCCAGAGCAAACCAGAATCATGCCACAGGATGCCAGCCGAATCCACAGGGTGATAGAACGGTGGCGATGATAACGAGAATCGGTTCTTCTTCGGTAATGTTTTGTGCAAGGGGGAACGATAGCTGTGGTGGGAGAAAGTAGACACTCAAATTCGACAATTCAGTTACCCCTGAATATACACTACAGTGCGAACCCCTCAGATTCAACGTATTGTCCCTCACTCCCGAGAAATTGGTGACGGCATGCCAGCATTCAGCGTTCCCCAATGTTTCTTTCTTCTCTATCCCTTTTCCGCCCTCCCTATTCCTCCATTCCTCGTCCGTTCTCCGTCCTCCCCTCGTTCGTCTTCCTCGGCGTCCTCCTCATTGCCATCTACGCCAATCCCATCAGAATTCGCAGCCCCATCCTCGTGATCATCATTATCATCCTACTCGCCAGTGTGATCATCCTCGTCATATGCACCGTCGTTATCCACATCTCCGGATCGCCCTCAAACACTCATTCCGATCCGCATCAGCCGCATCACCACCGTCGTCATCGTCACCATCGACATTCTCACCTTCCACATCCTCACCTCTTTCCTCCGTGCAGGTGTGGACTGCGGGCTTCAATTTGTTGATATCCTCGTCCTCATCCTCCCTCCCTCTTCATCAACCGCATCCTCACCAAGATCCCACTCATCAGCATCCTCATCATCCGCACCATCACCATCGTTATGGCTGATCTACTTCTCATCCCTCGCAGTTTAAAGTCGCCTCGTTCTCCTCCTGATCCGCGTTCTCCGGATCCTCATCGCCGTTGTCACCGCCATCCGCATCGCCATCACTACGAAAACCGCGTCGGACCGCGTCGAGGGGCTTGGACTCAGCTTTGCGCCAAGCGGGTGGCGCGGGCTGTGAGGGCCACACGCAGCCTTTTGCATTGAGGGGCGGAAGGGGGGTGCACGACGCATGCGCCGCAAGCTTCGATGCACGACGCATGGGCGCACCCTCCAGCGCACCCCGGGCCCAAGAGCGGCGGATGAGAACCGAATCGACGAGCTAACGGTGCCATGCTGATAGCAATGATACTCATGGTGCTCAGTTTTTCGAACGTGCCCAGCAGAACGCAGCTCGAAGAGGCTACGAACTTACACACATGTATGGTACCACCCTCTGGACGAAGAAGTGGTGATCGGCATTCTACGAAAGTGGCGAGGAAAGCGACTGGACATCTGTCTTGAAGGAGTCCCAAGCGGAATCGCCACTCCCAGGTGGCATGAAAATCAATCATATCTCGTTTTACGAGGAAATGCCGAGCGATATCGCCCTTTGCTGATGGCATGGCAAAGTTTCTGATCGCCCTGGGGGGCGATCATAAACTTTCTTGTTCAAGAAGTATTGGGCGGAATGCCATTCTGTGATACGGGCCCCATTTGGCTCAAGGGATGAAGGATGCATCGCGAACTCCGAAATTGGCCTTACATCGAACATTGTTCCAGGGCCCCGCGGCCGAACGGGAACCCAGCCATGTCTTCATCGATCCCCATGGTCAGCTGTCTTTAATCCAGCGATCTGACCACCGCCAGCGCACGGAATCATGTAACGTTCAAGGGCTCCCCATTCTTAACATTAGCGCGTACATCCATCGCTCACGAATGCGGTGAGTTTACTTAGTCGAAGCAATTGTTTTTTGCAGTGACCGCCGCCAGCGCACGGAATTATGCCACTTTCAAATGTTGCCCATGCTCCACGTTAGCGCGCACCTCCTTCGTCTTGCGACTGCGGCCGAGTTTGTTTTGCAACAAATCCCTGGTTTCAAAAGTTGTGATCGGCTGGTCCGCTACGAAGGCGGCTTGCAAAGCGAGTGGACATTTTTTGCGATGAGTTCCCAAGTGGAATCGCCATTCTTAGGTGGCGTGGAACGCAATGAGACATGAGTTGCGAGGCTGTCGCGAACGAAATCGCCATTTGCTGATGGGCATGGCAAAGTGTCTGATCGCCCTGGAGGGCGATCAGATAATTGTATTCAGGAAGTATTGGGCGGAATGCCACTTTCTGATGCGGGTCCCTTCTGGCTTTTAGAACGTGAGAAGGGATGAGAGGTGCATCGCGAATTCTGAAATTGGCCTTGCATCCAACATTGTTCCGGGGCCCCACGGCCGAATGGGAACCCATCCATGTCTTCCTCGATCTCCGCGGTCAGCACTCATTAAGCCAGCGGGACGCAGGTATCATTACCAATGCCAGTGACGGCAGTACTCATGTTGATGATGGAGGTGATGGTCATTGTGGTAGTGGCGCAGGTGATTGCACGGATGGTTGCGCAGATGATCCAGGTTTGGGCGCGTTAGGCTTACGCCAGGCAGTGGGGGCCTCGATCTGTGCATCGTGTTGGTGCTGTTGCAGGTGGTGTTGATAATGGTAGGTGGCGGTGGTTATGGTGGAAGTCATGGTGGTAGCGACACGCGCGCCTGCACCATTGATGGAAGCGATGAACATCTGACGATGGTTTGTGCCGACCGGCCACGACCGACCGAGGTGCGACGTGGTGGCGGACGGATTT